TCAACAGGTCCCTTGATGCTTCCAGGGAATTCTGGGGCAAATCTCTGTACCGCAGGGTCCTCACTTGAGGAACAGTTAACCATGATGCTCCAGAATACAGCTTTGTGCCAGGCAGCCTGGATTCAAGGCCTGGTGCAGCCACTTTAAGCTGTGTGTCTTTGGGCTAGTTACCCAGCCTCTCTTGAACATTGGTTTCTTCCTACATAAATTGTTGCAAGGATTAAGTGAACTCACTTTTGCAAAGAGCTTGGCACCTGGTAAATGCTTGTTCAAGGTGTGTTGTTCCAGCTATTGTTTTGTCTTTACTTCTAAATTCAAGATGTGTTTAAGCTCACCTGAGCTTCTTGGGATGAAAAACCAAATTGTTCACAAAATCACTTGTATTTCCAAGAGCTGTGATTTCCTGCATCTGAGATGCACTTCTTTGCCAGGCATTCTTGAGAGGGAGTTCTTGGTGGCTCAGTTGGTAAAGAATCTGCCTGCAGTGCAGGAGATCTCGATTCGATTCCTAGGTCGGAAAGATCCCCTGGAGAAGGGCATGGCAACCCACTCCTGTATTCTTGCCTGGAGAATCCCGTGGACAGAGGAGCCTGGCAGGGTACAGTCCATGGGGTCACAGAGTTGGACACGACTGAGCGACCAACTCTCACTTCTGAGTGGTTGCTCTGTGCCAGCCTGAGTGGGGAGCAGCTCTGGACCTGGTGGTGATGATGAATACATTATCGGGGTTATGGGGGTGCTGCAGGGGTGTGGAAACAGAGGTGACCGTCAGTGGGAAGGAGCTGGGGGGCTTCCCAGAGTAGGTGACGTGTGAGTGGCATCTTGAAGGAAGAATAGGAGTCTGTCATACAGAAAGGGTGATGGGTTTCTGGTGGGTGTGCCAGGGTTAAGGTAAAGAGCAGGGTGGGATGAGGATACTGCAGGTAGACCAAGGGAGATTTTACCTGAACGCCAGGGGCCCAGCAAGGCCTTGGCCAGGGGAGGATTGTGATCAGATTTGGTCTGGAGAAGGTGCCTGTTTTTAGGATAGAAGGTGCCCTGAAGGGGCACGGAGATGGGACGGAGCTGCTTGTGACCCAGAAGGGAAGAATGCAGGGCAGAGAGGCCCCCCTGGCGAGGTGCTTTGGGGGTGAAGTGACGTCCGTTGCAGCTGATCAGATGTGGGAGGATGGTGGCCCGAAGTGTCAGCCAGAAGGCTGGGAGGGGTGGTTCCTGGGGCCAGGCAAGGGGGCAGAGAAGGTGAAGCAAGCACGGCCCAGGGGGCGTTGTTGGTGCCTCTCAGACAGCCAGCATCTTACAGCATAGATTATACAAATAGGCTTAAAGGATCAGCCAGTGATCCCGAAATCTCAAGGCCAGAGGAAACCCTGTAACCACCAGAACCCTCAGGGAGATCTCTCTGTCTCTCATCTATCCAGGGTTTTCTGGATGGGTGTTTTCAAGACTGAAACCAGACAGGCTGGCCCGTGAGATAAATTCAGGCAGTTCAGAGCTGGGGCTGTCTGCCTAGCAGGTCAGCCGAGCTGTGACCGCCTCCTTGCCTCACGTCCAGCATTCTTTTGCACTCCCACTTTCTACTTAGAAAAACATGAGAATATCGTGCAGACTTTAAAAGAGTGACATTCTAGGGCCTGTGGATGTAAGATTTGAGGCTCCCAGGGAGGGAGCTGACCACTGCCTTTTGGTTTCTGCCGCCCGTGACCTACAAGCCCTGCCCAGAACCTTCTCTTCCCGCCGGTGTGGAGACCTACCGCCTTCTTTCTGGAACAGCAGCCATGGGCCTCCTTGTCTCTCTTGCCCCGTTTTTTGCATCTTTTATGGCAAAACTTTCCGACTCAATGCCTGTGCCGCCGTCTCTCCCGGAGCGTACCTGGGCCCTGGTCGCTACCTCGCGGCTCCGGGGCCTCATGGAGTCTCTGATGGCGCTGACTGCTGCCGGCTGTTTCTTTCTGGGTTGGATTCCAGGCCCCAACACTCCCCTAGAGGTTTTGCTTTCTCATCCTGTGCCCTCGTCCATTCCTGCTCACTCTCCTTGGCTGGTTTGTCTTTTCCTTTCTGGTAATGTTGGAACGCCCTGCACTGTCTTGTTCTGGAACTTTCTCTGCCCTCTCTCTTGGAGATCTTGCCCCGGGCCTGCCGTTATCCCGTCTGTAACCTGCCTCTCTCCCTGAGTTCTGCCTTCTTTCTAACAGTCTCTGCTCTTCTTTTTTTTTTTTAACTGAAGTACAGTAGATTTACAGTGTTGTGTTAGTTTCTGGCGTACCGTGAAGTGGTTCAGTTTTACTTACACATACGTTCTTTTCATATTCTTTTCTGTTATGGTTTATCACAGGATATTGAGTATAGTTCCTTGTGCTATATATAGCAGTACCTTCTTTCAGTCTTTGCATGTCTTAATAGGCGTCTCAGACTTCACATGGCCCAAACCGAGCACCTGCCCTGAACCTACTTCTCACCCCGTGCTACATCCAAGCAAGTGGCCCCATCGTGCAGTCACCCCAGTGCTCAGACAAATATAGGAGCCGTCTTTGACCTACCCCTGTTCTTTTAAGAAAATTGGCTTTCAGATGTCTGTTCTGTAATAACTGAGGCACACACTGAATTAGCAGTATCTGTGTGTGAGGAAGCATCACTTTGTAAAATGCCTGCTTGTGACCCACTAGCCTGATGGAGATGGCGCGTTCCCCGAGCCCTGAGTTCCCTGCGTTCCTCTCTTAACCCATGATAGCTCCTCTTTCTCTCACACCCAAGCGAGGACTGTGGGCTCTGTCTTCAGAGCTGCTGTCCCTCTAATCCAGACCACCATGTATCTCCCTGGGTCATTGCAGTCAGACCCCTTCCTCCCAGATCTGCTCTCTATACGCCTGTAGAGTGACCCGTTTATACCGTGAGTCCTGTCACCTCCCCCTTCTGCTCGAAATACTCCGAGGGCCTGCACTCAGCTTCTCTCTGCTCCTTGAACAAACCAGCCTCCTCCCACCCAGGCCGGCGGCTCCTGCCCCGGCCCTGTGACTGCCACGGCCTCCCTCAGACCCTCATGTGGCATCCCATCCCTTCCTTACTGAGGCAGGATGGTGGCCTTCCTGCCCTTCCATGCTGCTCTAGCCCACCCCTCTGCTTTCCTTCCCACGCCACCTCTCACCAAGGGGAATGAAGTATGCATTTATCTCTCCCCCGCCTTAGTTATCATGTCTCCCAAGTAGGATGTCAACTCTGTGGGTTGTGTTCTCAACACCAGGCCCAACACTTGATACATAGTAGGGCCTTGATAAGATACTGACTAAATGCATGAGAGTGAATAAATGATGAAAACTGTTGAATGAATGAATGAGCAAATGGATGAAAGAGTGAATGAACATACCTGTGAGTAAGTGAAAGGTGGATCTGGTGAGCAGCCAGGGAATCGGAGAATGAGGGCTTTTCTTTGAGGACCTCCCTGCCGTGGTCCTCGCATTGATTTTTCTTGTCCCATGAGTCTGAGATGAGGGGCATTGCCTTCTGACTTCTTTTCTCAAGGTAGTTCTTGCTACTTGCCATGTGCAGGACTAGGAACTTGTTGCTTAGATTTGAAAAATCTTGGGTAACAGTGAAAATGCTTGGCTGCTGTCTGTGAGGTCGTTTGGAAGACCAGATGAATCTCAGAATGAAGAAGGCTCAAAATTAATTAAACCCTCCTTGGCAATGATCAGAGGAGGAAGCTGTTTGCTTTCGGAGCACGGGGCGGCGGCTGGGAGCCTGGGTTGGTGCTTCCCGGCTGGGTCTGGGGGACACGTTGGTGATTGCCTTTGTCTCCCCCTCCAGGGCTGCCACCCAGGACTATGTGCGGCTAGGATGGAGACGTCCGCCTCAGCCACGGCCACGGACAAGAAAGAAGTCAAAAGCGGGATCCTGGAGGGCCTCGCTTTTCCTGACCCCGGCAGGAAAGCCTCGGCCCTCGCGGTGGCCACGGCGGCGGCGGCGGCTGCAGTAGCTGCCCAAGGAGGTACTTGCTGATCAACGCGCTTGGCGGTGGGGGGGAGGGGGGCTGTTTTTCATGAGCCTGTTTGAGATTCAGTGAGATGGGTGGTCGAGGTCACTGGGCAGGCATCCTGGGTTCATGGGGGCAGCTCAAGGGTGCTCCAGGTTCTGGGGACCCCAGGCACTGAGATGGAAGCCTGCAGGTGGATCTTGGAGGTCCAGCGCCCCCCAATCGGGAAGTGGGGTTTGGACCTCTCGAGCTCCATCAGGAAAATGGGAGAGGGAAGGGATGGGAGGTGTGGGGCTGAGGGGCGGCCCGGGTGTTTGTTCCCTTGGCACACATGTGCCAGAGAGGCGGCTTCTTGCCTCCGGCCTGCCAAGGGCTATTTTGGAAAGTAATTGTCTCCTGATCCCTTCTGGCTGTAATTAGAGGGTCAGGTACGGAATTTAGCATCCTTAGGTGAATTTCTGGCCAACTTAATTATAACAGAAGGACTCCCCGAGCCACAGCCTCTCATTTTACTGCCCCAAAGAGAAATACGCTCTGCTTTCCACTGGTCCGTGCCAGCATCCCGTTGGGAAAGTTTGGCGGGAAGGCGAGACCTCCCCTTGTGTCTGCGCGGTCCATCTGGAGGCCACAACACTATTTCTGTCTCCGGGGAATGGAGAGACTTAGATTTCTTTTCTTCCTCTTTTTATTCAAGCGCATTTAGTCATGCCCTGTTGCCTTTGCCACTCAAGCGCAGCTCAGAAGCACAGCCCCGAGGCAGCAGTGGGGGCGGGGAGGATTGTGCCCTCTCCGGGGTGGGGTGTGAGTGCTGGCTGCACCTCTCACACGCTGATGTGCACAGATCCCAGGGGGCTTTGTTCCAGTGTAGACCCCCAGTCGATGAGTCAGAGTGAGGCTGAGTTTCTGTAATTCTAAGCCATGCTCAGATGATGCGGGGGCTGCTGGGCCGTGCTGGGTGCAGCTTAGAGCTGGAGCCCCGGGATTTGGAAAGAGATAGTGGGTAGGATTCACCGTTTCCAAGAGTGAACTGGTCGTTGTTACCACATTGTTTTTATTTTTCCCCGTGATCCTGAGTTGGAGGTCAGCTGTCAGGATGTGCGGCCCCGGTCAGTGGAAGGAGGTCCCAGGCCAACCTTCCTGCTCCAGGAGCTGGGTACCTGGCCCCTGCCCTGTGTGATGTTCCTTGACTCCAGTCCCCTCTAGGAGCCGGGCTCTCCAGGCCCTTCCTTTGTGAGGAGGGGCCAGTGGCGTGGAGGAAGGAGCCCAAGGCCAGGGTGGACCCCGAGGAAGGATGACCGACGGTGGTGGCCCCAGTGCTGGCTTGTCCTGGGCCTGGCTGTGTCTGCATTTGGTCTGTTCCTTCCCCTGGCCTGTGGTGATGTCTCAGGCTGTCCCTCTGCCTGATGCAGAGATGCGTGGGCCCCTGAGGCCTGAATCACCTTGGTGCATTTCTGGCTCACCCTCCAGGCCCTCAGCTCTCCCCGCCTTGGCCTGTGTCTGCCTCTCTGAATCCATGAGTGGATTGTGAACTGCCGTGCGGCACGCTTCACTGTCGTGCCCCAGTAGCTGAGAACAGACCGAGGTGGTAATTAGGGAGTAATTACGGAATAACTGGCAAGAAAGCCCTTGAACATCAGACCTGGTTGTCACCGACGGGGCAATAACCACAGATGCTTGAGGGGGTCTTGGTCTCTTGGGGGCGGGGGCAGGCAGTGGGCCTAGAGCTTGGGGTGTAGTGGCTCCCCAGAGGCGCCTGACCTCACTCTGCCCCATGCCCTCACCCAGGATGTGGTCCTGCCCACCTCTGCAGGCCCCCGTCCATCCCCTCATTGCTGGACCCCGGGGGAGAGCTTGGCCGATGAGGTTCCTGCAGTGGGTGGATGTGCCTCTCCACCCAGTTGCCCAGGGCAGGCAGCTCCTTGTCACTGGAGCAGGTCAGGTGTGTCTTCTGCTCCCCGAGCCACTCTCTGGACACCTCATTTGGGAAGAGCCCTCCTGGAGCCAGGGCAGAGCTCTGGCATCTTGGAGCGGTTCCCTGAGGGCTGGGGACCGTGATGTCTGCATCCTGCCGGTGGGGCGAGGGAGGCCGGTGGAGCAGCTGGGACACTGGCCTGGGTCCCCATTCCAGCCATGTCCTGGGTCCCGGTGTGACAGGCCATTCGCTTCTTTGGGCCTCATTTTCCTAAACTGTGTTGTGAGAATATTTGGCAAATGTTATTCCAAGTCTACATAATCTCGTGATATCAGACCTTCCTTAAATCTTACCCACGGTGACAGAGATGCCGTGAGCAAGAATCCTCTTTTACTCAGGAAACCGAAGTCCTAGAATGTTCCAAAGAACCTCTGCTATGGGCCCACAGGGGCTTAGGCCTGTGGTCAGGTGAGACGGATGTGCAAAAAGGGGTGCCAGGCCGCACAAGCAGTTTGTGTGGGTCTCCTACACCTAGGCCCTCTCAGGATGGGAATGTTCGTGTTCTGCTCTGGACCTCAGCGCCTGAGGGTGTCTTGGGGCCCTGGGTGGTGTCAGGGAAGGTGGCGGTGGTGAGGAGCTGGCCCAGGAGAGGGGGGCTCGGTACATGGCTTTGGGGCTGGTGTGAACATAGGTGGGCAGGGCAGAGGGTCTGCAGAAGGCCTGGGAGAGGGGCGCTGCTGTCCGGTGTGTGCTGGGCTGGGGCGGGGCGTGGGGGAGACCTGAGAGCTGCCTGTCGAGGGGTCTGTCCCTGAGTTGTTTTCTGGAAAAGATGGGGTAGCCATCCTGGGGTGCCTGCTTGCTGAGGCAGGGGCGGGACTGGGTCGATTCCCTGTGGTTGAGCCAGTGACTGCCAACTCGGACAGCAGGCCCTTCTGACACTTGTCCCTGAGATCGTCCCTGGGAGCCGTACCGTGCGTTGCAGCTTTCTCGGAAGAGACACGCAAGCTGGGTGTTTCATGGCCTGTTATGCATCCGTCCAGCGTAGGGGAAGTCTTGTCTGAGGATGTTGGGGGCTCTGTGGTGAGGAATGCAGAAGGGTCAGACCCTGAGAACTGGCAGGGCTGCGATCACACACCCCCTAGTTGCCCCTTGGCACCCCCAGTGCCCACCCCCCAACCTCGTCAACTGTTATTGGCCTCAGGAGCTTCAATCCCACCCCTGGAATTGTAGGACTTTGATTCTAAGTGCGATCATACTTTTAGGCAGAAGGATTTCATTTCCATGTTATTTGTAACTGTAAGCACTTGGAAACAGCCTACGTGTTCAGTGATAGGGGATTGATTAATCAGCTGTGGAATGTCTACTGAATGGAACATTATGTAGAGCCTGAAAATGCTGGTTATGATTATCATGATGGGGAACGTGCATATGTTTTGGGGCTTCCCAGGTGATGTTAGTGGTAAAGAACCCACCTGCCAATGCAAGACACATAAGAGAGGTGGGTTCAGTCCCTAGGTCAGGATGATCCCGTGGAGAAGGGCATGGTGACCTCCTCCAGTATTCTTGCCTGGGAAATCCCATGGACAGAGAAGCCTGGCGGGCTACAATCCACTGGGTCTCAGAGTTGGACACGACTGAAGCGACTCAGCACACACGCATGCGTGTGTTTTAATGCAAAGTGTAAAAAAGCAAGATACAAGTTATTCTCACCTCTGTCACAAGTTTATAGTACATAGGAGATTCCCTTCGAAGTAGTTGACCCAGAGCAATGCACATGGCATATGGGAAACTTATCTCTTTGGTTCTTAAGGACCTTCAGGCTTCTAGAATGCTCTATTAGAATGTCGATAAGGGGATTCCCCTGGTGGTCCAGTGGTTAGGACTCAATGCTGTCACTGTCAGGACCCTGGGTTCAATCCCTGGTGGGGGAACTAAGATCCTACATGCCTCTGCCAAAAAAAGTCAGCAAGTCCGAGAGGCAGGGTTGTACTGGAGCACCTTGGGAGATGCAGACTTGGGAGAACCAAGTATATAAGCTCCCCTTCCAGCTCTGCTATCTGTGGGCTTTCCATTCAGTTAGTCGCTCAGTCGTGTCCGACTCTGCGACCCCGTGAACCGCAGCACGCCAGGCCTCCCTGCCATCACTAACTCCCAGAACTCTGTTGCTTTTTCTGTGGCCTTAGGTTGGTCATTTAACCTTGCTGGGATGGAAGTATTTGCACCATGGAAATTGGCAAACGCTATACATCAGGGCTGCCTCCAGCCCCTGTCCTCTCCCAGCACTTGACTGATAGTATCTGGGGACTGACTCAGCTTCCTTGGCCCCGTTAGAAGGAGAGTAAGGGTCCAGAGTGAGGAGTGGGGGATGAGGGCAGTAGCAGTTCCCAGTGGCATGCTTGGAAAGGACTCGCAGGACGGCTAGGGTGTTAGGGGTGTGGTGTTGGCACGTCTAGTTCGTGGGGAGTCAGAGTGTCTCCTTTTGTAGGTGGGACCGAAATGAGGTGGAGAAGAGACTGGCCCAGGCCTTCTGCTGCTTCCCTAGAGAGTGGGGTCTGAGGCTCAGGGCCCTTGCCTCTCCCACACTGAGCATCTCCTTCTTGAATTTGCTTTGAGATGCTGAGTTAGATTGTTTGTGGGTGATTTGGGCCTTAAAGCTCAGCCTGCTGACACTGTGTGTGTGTTTCCAGCCTCTGCACCAGCTCTGGACAGCTCTTATCTGTCCCCCCCATTGTTGGTCCAGTGGCCTAACAGCCCCTGCTTCCTTCCAGCTCTTGGAGGTTTTGGGCTGTGACTTATTTGCAGAGGGAGGGACCTTAAAAGTTACCTGGCTCAAGCAGCCTCTGTTGCTTGACCACCCTTTGGAGTCGTGAAGCTAGCTGTGCTCAGGGCTGGGTGTTTCCACCGAGAGGTTCCACCTCCTTGTGTGACAGGGACACCTTTGCATCACAGGGCCGTACAAGGACAAGCAGCCCTGTGGTCAGCCCAGACGGCAGAAGCCGCGGCTGGTGGGCACCTTCCCAGCCTCTTGAGCTGCTGTGCTAACACTTGGGAGGCCATCAAGCTTTAAAAACATATTTTTGCCCAGAGCTATTTTTCCCTTTAATTTTTTCACATGGCATAATTTTAAAGGCAATTCGATTCAGATGTTTCTCATTTTTTTACACTGAAACTTCCCCGATGCTGTCGTATTTTCCTCTTCAACAGTAGATTTTCTTTCCAAAAATATTTCTGAACCTCTGTGTTTGCTTCAGCTGAGCACCAAGGACCCAGCCACCCGCACGCCTCTGGGCTGGGAGGAGGAGAAGGCTGGAGCCATAAACCTCAGCTGCATCTTGATCCAGGGAGCTTTCCTTGTCCCCAGAGTCAACACAGGCCATAGAAGTTCTATGATGCATCTATGGTAACCAACACCTCACTCTTACACTGAGCGCCCACCGTGTCCTAGGCCAGGGTGCTCCCACGGTGGTCCTTCCATCAGTCAGCAGCATCAGCACCCTTGGGACTTGGGCCTCACCCCAGACCTCCTGAAGCACAGCCTGGGAGCTATGATTCTGATCACTCTTAGATGTTAGACTCTCTATGCCTGGCAGCAGGAGGCAGGACGGGTCTTTGTACATGTAGAGTGAGAATCACATGCGGAGGTGCCATGCAGAAATTACAGGAGACGGTGTGCTCACACCTGCCTGGCACAGGCCCCTGGTGGGTAGTAGCTCTCTCTCTCCTTGTATGCAGTGCAGAGTCATAGTTGAAGCAGCCCGGCCTCTGGAGCCAGTCTGCCTGCTTAAGGCCCCACTGTGCAGATCTTGGGCAGGGCTGTGCCTCAGTTTCCACATCCATAAAGTGGGCACCAGAATGGCACCTGCTTCATGGCATTGTGAGAATTACCTGTGTTAGCACACGTGTGGTGCCAGGCACGCAGTTAACTCCAAGTTAAGTCTTTGCTCTATAAACTGTAACCAGCTTTCCTTTTCGAGGTCTGCAGGCTCTGCCTGACTTAGAAGGTCTCTTCCTCCAGTAACCCTGGCTAGTGGACCCCCCGCCCCGAACAGGTGGTGGGAATCCCAGATTTCTGGTGTCTTCCTGTTTGAGAAGGTGGAGGGGGCCCTGGGCTGGAAAGCGTGCCTGCTTGTCCTGCTGTGCTTTGCTACCACGGGGTGGCATGGGTAGGTGACCTTGGTGGGTCCCCGGCCTCCTTAATTCAGCCTCGTGTGCTGGAGGGTGGGGTCAGACCGAACGATGCCAGAGCTGGCCAAGCCTTAGAGTCTTGGGTGACTCTAATAAAGGCAGACTTTCAGGATGCTAAAGCAGAATCTCCTGGGCTAGGGCCTGGGTGTGCATTTGTTAGCAGATTTCCCAGGTCACTGTCCACAGCATGGATGAGCCCCCCCAGAAGTAGAGAATTGGTGGCAGCTGGGCAGTTTTGGGGGTGGGGTGGAGCCTGGCATTGCTGTTAGCACGGCACTCCCTTATGCCTGAGCTCCCACTGGCCACCCCTTCCTCTTGTTCAGTGGCCATTGGCTTTGTGGAAAGTTTCTCCAAGGTAGGTTTTTGTTCAGAGGGGAGGCATTCATGCCTGTTTCAGAATGCTGTGAGCATGTCAGGGTGTGGAAATCAGATGTTCTTACTGTGAGGCTCAGGACTGGGAAAGCCCAAGTCACACGGTACCCACCCTGCCCCGTCCTCCTTAAGTGTCTCCATCCCTGGTGCGTCTGTTTCTCTCTTTTATTTGTTTTTAGCAGTAATTTTTTAAACTGTTAATTATTGGTTTCTGGCCGCGCCGGGTCTTCACTGCTGCGTGTGGGCTTCCTCGCGTCGTGGCGAGCGGGGGCTGCCGCCTGTGGTGTGCCGGCCTCTCGCTGCGGGAGCTGCGGAGCCCGGGCTGCAGGATGCTCAGGCTTCAGTCGTTCCGGCACACGGGCTTAGTTGCCCCGAGGCATGTGGGATCTTATTCCCTGATCAAGCCTGTGTCCCCTGCATTGCCAGGCAGATTCTCGACCACTGGACCCCCTGGGACGCCCTGGTGTGTCTATTTCTGAGTCTCTCCCACTCCCCCCGCCCAAGCCCCGAGGCCCTGTGAGAGCGCACCCCCAGCAAGGCAGACATCCCGGAGGTGGTTGCCTGGTGAGGGGAGTGAGGCTGGTGCCAAGCGTGTGCCCAGCGGGCTGGGGTGGCCAGCTGCCTTTGCCAATCCGGAGGTCCCCTAGGATGAGGGTCCGCTGGGCCTGGCCTGCTCGTGGGTCCTGGCTCCCCTCCTGAGACTCCCTGGACAGCGGGGAGCTTGCTGCTCTGGGCCAGTCCTGCCTGGCCTCCTGCGCTGCCCAGCAGGGCCACACACTTGCTTTGAGCCCAAGGATGCACTCACGTGTGACTAAGTGGGCAATTACTCTTATTTAAGTGATTTTCAGGATGGCTGTTGGTGCTGCTTCTGAGCTTGTTTTAACGGCCCAGCCACACGGAACAGCCGGTTCCCATAAGACTTTTCCCGAAAGCAGAGCTCAGTTCTCTGTGACAGCTCCGCACGCCCAGGAAGCGGAGGGCAGCACAGGTCCCCGGGTGTTTTCAGGATGGGCTCTGAATGGCTGTTTTTGTTTTTTTTTAAATTGAAGTATAGTTGGTTTGCAATATTGTTTCAGGCGTACGGCAGAGTGATTCAGTGATACATATAGAGACATTATTTTTCAGATTCCTTTCTATTATGGTTTAGCACAGGATGTTAAATACAGTACCCTGTGCTATATGGTAAGTCCTTTTGGTTACCTATTTTATATATAGTCGTGTGTAATCCCCAACTCCTACTGATTTATCCCTCCCTGCTCTGAATGGCTCTTGATGATGCCTGGGCATGGTCTCAGGTGCCGGGGTGTCCTGGAGGATCAGAGAGGGAGGCCTGAAGCCTCCTTCCAGCCCTCCGTGGAGCACAGAGAGTGGGGGAAAGGACCTGGCCTCCTCCCGGCTCTGCACTTGTTAGCTCTGTGTTCTGGGGAAGTCAGTTAGTTTCTCTGAAGTCTGGGAAATGGAGATAATACTGGTCACTGCTTCTGGCCACGATGGACTGAAACGGGGCAGCTTTTGACCGTGGCTGGCAGAGAGCCTGTGTGGAAGTGAAGTCACCGGTGGGGATGTGGGTCCAGCCAGCTCTCTTCTTGGTATGGTGGCCTCATGCTTGATGCTGAGACCTCATGCTTTACATGTCCCTCAAAGCGGCTGCCACCCCAAATCAGGGGACGCCTGCCTGCCCCAGTACAGCAGGCCTCTTCTGCTCCTGCCCGCAGTGTTCAAGGCCAGCCTGGGGTCTGCGCTCTGGCCACTCCCCTCGGCTCATGTTTGCATCTCCTACCTGCCTTTCCATGCCTTTGAGCAGGACAGTGTTCCAGCTGCTGCTTTGACTCTTGGCCTTGTTAGTCCCTGGGACATGGGACCCGCCTGGCGGATGTAGCTTCACTTCTCGTGACTCTTCTACATGGTAAACTGTTGTAGAGTTTGGAGAAAGCTTCGAAGTCATTTCCAACGATAGAACTGGAAGAAGCTTTAGCAATCATCTTGTTCAGATCCATTCATTTTACAGATGTGAAGATTGAGGCCCATATACTTGAAGTCCAGTCACCCAGGGACATCGTGGTGACTGGAAACCCATATTCGAGGCTCTGCCTATATTGGGGCACTAGCTGCCCCCAACCCTGTCCCCTTCCTGGCCCCAACCTCAGCTTCCCAAAAGGATGGTGTTTATGTTAGAAACATTTTTCTGACGTTTGGTTCTGTCAGAACTAATTTTAGCATTTCTAAAGCTTGGTGAAAATACAGCCTCATTACTTTGATGTCAGTGCATAGTTTACTATTAGTATATTCTGGGGTTTATCATTTTAGTCATGTTTAACACGACTGCACCAGGCATGCACTATTAAATCTGGCTTATTTTACATTCCTGTCCGGAATTATTTATTTGTAACAATTTCCTCTCTATCAAAAGACACAGCTAATGCTGTGTTTTAATGTGTTATTTACACACAAAATAACCTATTTACAACTCAGCATGCGCCGGAGGGAGGATGGATGGGCCCGGTTTCCTGCGTTCTGTTGTATCGGAGTTTAACAATCTGGTTTGCTAATAGAACCATTTATCATTGGTGTGGGGAGGATAATTTATTTTATGTTTGTGGCCAGGTCTCACGGCCTCTGATCTCAGGAACGTTTGGAAGATAATGAAGTCAGGCCTGGTGTTCGGGGGGCATGGGGGATCCCTGGCCTTCCTGAGATTGCCCCGGGGGCCTTGGGGTTCCCTGAGCTCACATGGGCATTACACAGATGGTTCCGAAACGCCAATCAGAAATGTGTTGGCAGAGACACTGCCTCTGCCTTCTAGGCGTTCGCTGGGATGATCCTGCCCAGGGAGCCTCCTCGGAGGCAGCTTGGGAGAGGGCCCATAGGGGTGCGTGAGGCTTTTCCAAGTGGGAAGAGGAAAGAGGGTGGGCATTACGGGGAGAGCAGAAACAGAGTAGCCCGTCGGGAGGGCAAGGGTTTGGGGGCAGTCAGCAGGCTGGCGCACGTGCCTCTAGTTTGGGGTGTGTGGCCTGAGAGGGGCTCCAGCCTTGGTGGCAGATGGAGTGTTTGGACTGCCCTCCCCTCCCCAGGGCATCAGGGAGCCAGCCACAGAGGCTGAGGTCAGGTCCTTGCCACACAGGAGTGGGAGGGCCGCTCGCCTGCAGCCTTGGGCAGAGCAGCTGGAGGCACGGGGTCCAGCAGCCAGGCGTGGCGGGGTGGGCACTGGTGCCTGGGGACCTGTAGGACCTAGGAAGGGGGAGGCCTTTTGGCTGCCCTGGAGTTAGGCCCAGGGGTGACTGGGGTACCCAGGTGGATGTGTGGCCACTGGACCATGCGGACTGAGGTTCCTGTGGCTTTATCAGGGTCCCCTCCTTTTCAGCACGCTGATGGGTGAGGCGGAAAGCAGCGCATCTGAATGCCAGCACCAGAGCGGGCAGGTGGGGAGGGGGAGAGCAGTCATCCAAGAAGCAGGGGCCTAATGCTTGTCCCCAAGAGCTTGGCCCATGGAGAAACCAGATGCCGCAACTCGTGATGCTAATATGGCCAGCGCCTGAGGCCTGAGTGACCAGGAAAACTGCAGGGAAGGAGTGGATCCCGAAAGGCCTTGAAGGCTGAGTCGGGCCCTGGGAAGGCCATCGTCTGCAGCTGTGTGCTGGCTCTCAGTCGGGGTCCTGCTGGGAGCAGCCGCACGTTCAGATCACGTGGTTGGGGAGATGCTACCAAGGAGGTGTTTGCAGAGTGTGGCAGGACGTAGGGCAACTGCGTGGCTGGTGCATGGAGCATGCAGCTCTGGGACGGTCACTGTTGTCTGGGGCCCGGGGCTCAGGCTTGGGTAGATGAGGTTTGAATCCTTGCTCTGCTTCTTGCTAGTTGAGTATCCTTTGCTGATCTGAACCCTGGTGTCCTCATCTTAAAATTGGACAAAATACTTATCTTTTGAAGACTGCAATGCAGGTAAGCAGTGTAAAGTTCTTTGATTGCACCTGGCATGTAGTAGACATTCTATATGGACTGCCATATTTGTATTATTGTGGCTACTATTAGGTTTATTCTAGAACTATTTTCCCAGAGTAGCATGTATGCTTCCAATAGATATCTGAGCGTGAGGAAATGAAGGAATGAATGCACAGGTACCTGAACAGTCTTCATGGAGGAGCAGGTTGTCCGTGATGTGCAAGGGGGATGGTGTTCCAGCCGGAGGAAAAGCACGTATAATACGAAGGTTCTGGTGTCTGAAGCGGGCTGGGGGTGGCTGGCTCTGGCTGCCTCTTGGGAGAGCGGACCCCTTCACTCCCCGGCCCCAGCGCAGGCCCCTCTCCTGGGGGGGAAGCTCTATGATGCTGTGTCCCAGCCCCGGCACAAGCCCCTCTCCTGGGGCTGGGAAGCTCTATGATGCTGTGTCCCAGCCCCAGCGCAGGCCCCTCTCCTGGGGCTGGGAAGCTCTATGATGCTGTGTCCCTGGCCCCAGCGCAGGCCCCTCTCCTGGGGCTGGGAAGCTCTATGATGCTGTGTCCCCGGCCCCAGCGCAGGCCCCTCTCCTGGGGCTGGGAAGCTCTATGATGCTGTGTCCCAGGCCCCAGCGCAGGCCCCTCTCCTGGGGCTGGGAAGCTCTATGATGCTGTGTCCCAGGCCCCAGCGCAGGCCCCTCTCCTGGGGCTGGGAAGCTCTGTGATGCTGTGTCCCCGGCCCCAGCGCAGGCCCCTCTCCTGGGGCTGGGAAGCTCTATGATGCTGTGTCCCTGGCCCCAGCGCAGGCCCCTCTCCTGGGGCTGGGAAGCTCTATGATGCTGTGTCCCCGGCCCCAGCGCAGGCCCCTCTCCTGGGGCTGGGAAGCTCTATGATGCTGTGTCCCCGGCCCCAGCGCAGGCCCCTCTCCTGGGGCTGGGAAGCTCTATGATGCTGTGTCCCCGGCCCCAGCGCAGGCCCCTCTCCTGGGGCTGGGAAGCTCTATGATGCTGTGTCCCTGGCCCCAGCGCAGGCCCCTCTCCTGGGGCTGGGAAGCTCTATGATGCTGTGTCCCCGGCCCCAGCGCAGGCCCCTCTCCTGGGGCTGGGAAGCTCTATGATGCTGTGTCCCCGGCCCCTGCTCCGCTGTGTCACCAGCTGCTGTACAGCCACACGAGGAGGCTGGAGGCCCAGCCCCGCCCGTCTCTGAGGTCAAGGCTCCTTTGGAGCCCCCTCCAGGTTTAGGCGGGCTTCCCAGGGGGCGCTGGTTCAGTTCAGTCGCTCATTCATGTCCGACTCTTTGCGACCCCATGGACTGCAGCACGCCAGACTTCCCTGTCCATCATCAACTCCTGGAGTTTACTCAAACTCGTGAGTCAGTGATGCCATCCAGCCGTCTCATCCTCTGTCGTCCCCTTCTCCTCCCACCTTCAATCCTCCCCAGCATCAGGGTCTTTTCAAATGAGTCAGTTCTTTGCATCAGGTGGCCAAGGGATTGGAGTTTCAGCTTCAGCATCAGTCCTTCCAATGAATATTCAGGACTGATTTCCTTTAGGATGGACTGGTTGGATCTCCTTGCAGTCCAAGGGACTCTCAAGAGTCTTCTCCAACACCACAGTTCAAAAGCATCAATTCTTTGGCACTCAGCTTTCTTTATAGTCCAACTCTCACATCCATACATGACTACTGGAAAAACCATAGCTTTGACTAGATGGACCTTTGTTGGCAAAGTAATGTCTCTGCTTTTTAATATGCTGTCTAGGTTGGTCATAACTTTTCTTCCGAGGAGTAAGCATCTTTTAATTTCATGGCTGTAGTCACCATCTGCAGTGATTTTGGAGCCCAGAAAAATAAAGTCAGCCACTCTTTCCCCATCTATTTGCCATGAAGTGATGGGACCAGATCTCATGATCTTCATTTTCTGAATGTTGAGCTTTAAGCCAACTTTTTCACTCTCCTCTTTCACTTTCATCAAGAGGCCCAGGTGGTGCTAGTGGTAAAGAAACCTGCCTGCCAATGGAGGAGATGTAGAAGACATAGGTTTGATCCCTGGGTCAGGAAGATCTCCTGGAGGATGGCAAGGCAACCCACTCCAGTATCCTTGCCTGGAGAATCCCATGAACAGAGGAGCCTGGCTGGCTACAGTCCGTAGGATTGCACAGGGTCAGACACAACTGAAGTGACTTAGCACGCGTGCGCCGGGTTTAGGCAGCCTCTTCTCCGGGGGCTGGAGGGGCTCCGTCTTGAGAAAACCGCCCTCGGTCCTCTCCCTGTGTGCTGGCTGGCGCTGCTCCAGTGCGTGTGGACTGCCAGCTTGTGTGGGGGGCAGTTGGGCTGCCTGAAGCCCCGACCACAGACAGGGCGAAGCACTCTTCTGTATCCGATTTTCCATCCCCTTTGAGCAGCCGCATCTGAGAGGAGGGCCCGGGCCTGGTGTGGTGCTGGTGATGGACAGCAGGCTTGAACTCTGTGCTGTCCTCCATTTCTGCCTTTCTGGACATGAAGCCAGAGCAGGGTGATGCTGGGCATGGCAGGACAGCTCTCTCTGCTCCCAACCCAGAACCTTACATTTACCCTTAGCCATCGCCTTGCCTCTGGGTTCCTGCAGAAGCCCACATTGTCCTTCATCCTTCTTTGTGACATAGGTTCCCTGGTGCCAGGACCCTCCCCACGGACAGCTGTAGGCACCTGAGTACCAGGGGCTGGGGCAGCTGAGCCCAGGGAGAAGAGGGTCAGAAAGGGATGCACAGGTTGCAAAATGCGGGAGTTGTGAGGCTGGAAGCCAGAGAAACTTTGTTGCATTTCTGGTCGAGTCTGTCCGCTGATCACATTTCTCCAGGCTGTGTTGGTGCCAAGGAAAGCAGCAGGTGCCTGCAGTCGTGTACACGAGTGGGCACCCTTGCCTGCTGTGTGACGTGGTGGTTACAGGACTCACCCATGCAGGGGGTGAGGATCTGCATGTGGCCAACTGGGGGCTGCTGCCACTATTCTCATGAGAGGGTGACCGCACCTGCCTCAGGGGGCCTGTGGCAACTCCTGGCTGTGCCATTAGCGGCCAGGGTGGTGTGGTGCTTTCCAGCTGACCTCTGCCCTCAGTGGCACCCTCATGTCAGGCCCCCAGCTCTGCCAGCTCAGGGCTGACTGCAGGATGGAAAAAGGAGAAAGGGAGGACCTAGCAATTCCGCTCTTAGGTGTCTCCCTAAGAGAATCGAAAGCATGTGTTTCTACAAAACCTTGTGGATGAATGTTTATGGCCACATTATTCATAGTTGCCCCCAAAAATGAAAATAACCCAAATGTCCACTAGCTGTGCTCAGTCGCATCTGACTCCTTGCAGCCCCATGGACTGTAGCCTGCCAGGCTCCTATGTGCATGGAATTTTCTGGGCAAGAATACTGTAGGGGGTTACCATTCCCTACTCCAGGGGATCTTCCCGACCACTGGATCAAAGCTGCATCTCCTGTGTCTCCTGCATTGGCAGGCAGGTTCTTTTACTACTGACACCACCCAGGATAAAATGTTGTCTATCCACATGATGGAATATTATTTGGCAAAATAAGGAATGAAATACTGATACATACTTCAACAGCTTGAAGTTGAAGGTGTTCATACCATAGCAAGGTATGAACCTTGCTGACATTATGCTCAATGAAAGAAGCCAGACCCAGAAGGCCAGATACTGTGTAGTTCCCCTTACATTAACTGTTCCAAATGAGCAAATCCACAGGCATGGGAAATAGATGAAAGGTGGACAGGGGCAGAGGGGAGAAGGAAATCAGGGTGGCTGCTGATGCATATGGAGTTCCTTTTTGGGGTGATGAGATGTTCTGGAATTAGATAGAGGTGATGACTGTTCAACATGGTGACTGTACTAAAAACCACTGAATTGTACGCCATAAAAGGGTGAATTTTATGGTATGTGAATTCTATCTCAGTTTTAAGAGAGAAGGAAGGGAGAGAGGGAGGAGGTGAGGAAGGAGGTAAGAGAGGGTGAGGGAGGTGCCTGGGGGTGTCTCAGAGTGGCTTTGTCATGGCCCTAAAACCCCGGCCTGAGTTCCGGGGCTGCGTGAGCACCATTGCCCCCCAGGGAGGACTCTGCTGCCTCTGGCCAATGAGTAGCCTCCCTCACCAAGTCTGTAGGCTCCAGAAGCTCTAAAAACCACTGGAGTGGAAGGACGGTGTTTAATGACAAAGTAAATAATTACATTAAGGGTGTGAGAGTGGAGGGGAGCCGAGTAAATCACTTCGGAAGGAGCACCAGCCCGCAGTTCACTTCTGGTCCTTTATCACCACATTACGTCCTCCCTTGGATGCCGAATAATTGATCATGGCAGGGCTATGGGCTCTGCAGCTGCAGGGGTGGGGGCCCGGAGGGGCTGGGAGAGACTGCCTGCCAGCAGGCCAGGGTGACCCGGCTGCCCCTCCTCCTGCTCCAGGTGGGAGAGGCGCCGGGCCCGGGAGAGAGGGGTCCCTGTCCTGCTGGAAATCAGATGCTTGGCTGGGAAGGGCCAGCCTCTTCTGAGCTTCTGCGTGGGAGGGGTTTGGGGCCATCTGGTCCACTGAGGCCCAGAGCGGAGGGTAGTCTGCCCAAGGCCACACAGTGAGCACGGCTGGACCCCGGTAAGGAGCTAACCTGGGTCCCTCAGGTCAGTATGCTGCCCTTGCCCCAGGACCGGGCTTGAAGGAGGGCTGGGCGTTAGATGCTTACTGCATGGGGTCCCAGGCTTTCTTCAGAGCAGCATCCATGGAAGGCAAGCACTGGCGGGATTGCAGTTGCTGGGACGTGGCGGAGGTGGCAGGTCGGCCTGATTCAGGTTGCGGGGTCTGGCGCACCCTCCTGCCTCCCTGGCCTGGCCTCGCGTTCCCAGAGTGGCCCCTTCCCTCTGCTGTTCTCTCTCCACCCCGTGGTCTCAGTCTGTCCTCAGGGAGCCCCAGTGGACGGCTCAGGGGCCCTGCTGCCCGCCTCCCCAGTCCCCTGCCTGTCCCTCAGGCCAGCTCTTAGCCAGGGACCACGGATGGGCAGGCAGCCGGACTTAATTCTGAACCCCAAGAGGGTCATGCGTGATGTTGGAAGATAGGAAGACGGCAGCATCTTGTCCTGAAAGGATGGGTCTTCTCCGGTGGAGACTGAGTCAGGATGCTTGGTGGCGTGTGATAGAAGCCCACTCAGACCCTTCAAACCCAGGAAACCGGAACCGCTGCGCCCGGGGCCCCGGTGGCGACACTGAGACGCTGCCCCTGTCTCTCTCTGCCTCTTGGTGGGCAGGGTACCCGGGTGCGTGGTGCAGTCAGAGCTCTGGCTCTTCAGATCAGCAAGTCCCCTCCTCTTAGGCTGCTCCTGGGGTGACCAGGCCTGTCCCCAGTCCCTCGTTGTCCTTTCAAGCCTCCCGTGAGGGAACATAAAGTGCACCTGATTGTTACCAGGTGAGAGTCTTAGAGAAGAAATGCCAGAACGTTCTGGGGTGGGGTGGCATCACCCAGGCGGCTCCTCCAAGAAGGTGTGGCGGGGGCGCTGAGAAGGGGACATGAGTGGTGGCCTCTCTGCAGGAATGAGATGGCTTACTTAGAGGACATGGACGAGAGGGCTTACTTTGCCTGGGGGATTCACACGAAGAG